GGGGGGGGGGGGGGGGGGGGGGGGAAGACGACGAACAAACCTGATGCACAGTAGTCTAAAAAGAGTAGTGTCTCTCTCAATGTCAATTGAGTGGGGTGGATCACAGTGCCGCGTCGTAAGGAATCGCGGCTTGGCACCGTGAGCGAGCCGAGATTATATGTTTTCGCTTCGCAAGCCAAATTGAATTTTTGCTGCAGGGCTCCCTTCAAACAATTGGGTCTACCCAGTACAGTACAGTACAGTACAGTACAGTACAGTACAGTACAGTACAGTACAGTACAGTACAGTACAGTACAGTACAGTACAGTACAGTAGATTGCTGCACCGTGGCTCGATCTGCGCGCCGAAATCCACGGAAGGGGAAGCACCACAATGTAAGTGCAAAGCCTCTACTCGTTGACGCGGAAGTTATGCATACATGGACACAATTACCACACAGGTCTTGCACGTTACAGTACAGTAGTTACCGCACGCACCAATAAAGTGGTGTAGTCGGAAGCATCGCCCACGAGGATGCCGCCGAGGAGTTTGGTGCCGGCGGTGTTGAAGAAGAGCTTCTTGTAGGCGTTGTTGAAGGGGTCGTTCCAGGTCATGGAGATCTGGTCGTCCTCCTCCTGCAAGAACATGAGATGGAGATGGAAACGGAGATGGAGATAGACAACGTTGGGGTGGGTTGAATGCCAATTGGATCATGGGGTCATTGGATCATCGGATAGGATTCGACTGAATGGGGTTTGATAGGTTCGGTCAGGGACGAATCAGGGACGAATGGATGCTTGTACAGTAACCGCTGTGGTGTCCGTGACCGTTTCATGTGTTGACTTCGGTCTGGATACTAAATAAATAATGCGCGACACCACTATGAATGCGTTTTTCGGCGAAACGGTCAACCGATATACAGGTACAGGAATTTCAACCGAACCGGCTGTTCCGCTATTTAGAGAGAACCAATCCGCCCCATACATGCTCACGTGTGTTCTATTCTAGTACTATGCATGCATGCGTCACAACCGGCCGCACTTGCAAGAGAAACAGGATCGGTCGCAGGGAGGGCTTGCGCTAATACCAGGTATAGTGCCCCGACCGATGGCAATGCTCAAATGACGATCGATCCCGGCCCATCGTAATGCGCGGCTGAGCTGCTGTGTGTGCCTTCCGAGGCAAGGTTATTGCAAAGACATGATTATGGCAAACCATCATTTTTTTCTACAAACCGCCAAGCTTAGCGGTGCCCGCAGGAAGGTATGTCCCCGCCCACGAGCTCGAGAAGTGTCGAGAAGTGTTGTGGCCACAACGACCCGTCCGAAGAGATTTCAGGAGGGGAAACGAAACCAAGCACCGCATCTCGTCTGCCCTCCCCTCCCAGACAGGCTCGTGTGCGTTCTTCGAAAGCCACGCTTAGCGCCTTCCTTTCTTATTTACCTTGAAGCCGGAGTAGCGCCCGAAGGAAGCCACGTCCACCCCCATGAGCTTGAGCTTGGTGGACATGTCGGCTCCGGTGAAGGGCTGCTCCTCTCCGACCACGGTGTTGGCGACGGCCTCGGCCATCTCGTAGCCGGGGGCCACCAGACCGTAGATCTTGCCGCTGAAGAAAAAACGGAAAATTGTTTCGTCGGGGCAACGGGGACGGGGGGGTGAATGAAGACCACGACAAACGAAAATGCAATAAAAAACAAATACAACTTCAAAACGCCACGGCAAGGGGAAAGCGAAAACACCGGACACCAAGAGGGATCCAACACCAACAGAAGAGAGTAATTCTCAAACGTTGAAAGGGAAGAGAAACGGCAAACAGTAACTTGTCAACTTTTTTTCTTCCCAGAACAAAACGAAGGAAAACAAGGAAAAACCATCTATTACAAGCATAGCATATAGTGCATACCCGTGAAGGGCGACTTCTCCAATGGCGTAGATGTCCTCGTCGTTGGTCTTGAGCAAGTCGTCCACGATGACGCCTCCCCTCTCGTGCACCTCGATGCCCGAAGCGCGCGCTATCTCGTCGCGGGGGCTACGCAGACAGGATCGAGGGGATGCCGACAAACGTGGCGTTTCGGGAGACGGACCGTTGCAACGAGATGATGAGTGAAAAATCGTAATTGCAAGCGTGTGTGTAGTGATGAATGTGTCGATGAAAAAAATGCATCGACCGCGCTTACCGGCGGAATTTCGAAAATACGTTACAGCGTAATAGCGAGACAACGAAAAAACTCAATGCATGTGTGCTGTGTTGGTCAGCCTCTGTACTCTGAACCTGCGATTGATGTATGTATGCCTGTCATTTGGACACGCCAGCCGGGTTCACAAGGGGTATGCATAGGGCTGGACAAACGTGTCAGAAGTGACGGCCAGCACAAAAGAAATAAACGATGATGAACCCGAAAATCCCAGGGCTGACAAGCATGCCGGCATTCATGCTTCAAGCGAGAATTACGACCACCTGACGGATAGGTGATAGACAGCCTACATGGGATCTATGCGTGTATCACTCAAGTTGCACGTCACAACCCTCGAAAGAAGGATCCTAAGATATCAACTGTTGTGCTGTTCTTGGAAACGAGGCGTCCGTTAAAAGGCAACTCAAACGCTCCGTAGACGATGATACGGAGTACGATCGACTGTTACAGCACCAGATTTCTCAGCCTTCCGTACCAAAATGACCGCCCTCTACACGACCGTATGCATATGATACTCCGTTGTGTTCGAAAATATTGTACAATACGCTTGAGTTCCTTTGTACACTCCTCACCGGATGCCAGCGGAGACAACCACCATGCCAACGTCCAGGTCTTCCCACCCCTCGTTGGAGAAGGTTAGGCCGGCCACCTTCTCGTCGCCGAGAAACTCGGTGACGCGGGCGTTGCAGTGGATCTTGAGCCCGAGGTCCTCGATCATGCCTCCGAGGATGGCGTGCCCCGCATCGTCAATCTATTGACGGTTACATTTACGGCGATCGCAAACGGTTGGCGTTGTTCGTTGTTCTTTTAGTGTAGGAGATTGGTGCTAGACATTGGGCACGTCATGCGTTCGCTGCTTTTAGTTATCGAAACCAATATTATTCCTGCACTTGATTCTGATTGTTTTGCAACCAATGTTGTGCATCAAGTCGACAACAGGACAGCATCTGGACAAAAGACACGGGTGTGTCTAGCTTTTCCCATGGTACAGTACGCTCAACGAGAAATCCCATAGAATAGCAACATAACATCATCATTCTCTCTCTCTCTCCTTGTGTTTTGACACCCACCGTGGTTGATCAATACCATCAGCCGAGGGATGCATATTATAGTACCGTACGGCAGTAGAAGAAAACAGACAGCACGGGATAGCGCAGCACCTGGCGGCACATGAGGATGGGAGCGTACTCGATGATGTGCGTCTCCATGCCGAGGTCGTACATGGCCTTCGCCGCCTCCAGTCCCAGCAGACCACCCCCAATGACGGCGGCCGCCTTCACGCCGTGGTCCTTCTGGTACTGGATCATGTTCTGAGGAAGTCGCGGGCGGAGCAAGCATGCATGTATGCGCCGTGGGCGTCAGTTGTTGAAGGTTAACGCAAGACCAACACAACACCCTCCAAAGAGTCCCGTCATAACCTATGTACCTTCTTCGTGTACACAGCCCGTCTGCAATTCGTGTCCCACGCAAAAACGAAAATGCCAACTTTCTTGTGCAATAAATTAGTCAGGCGGGGCGGGGTATATGAACCGAAGGCGTTTCCGCCCACAGCAAGATGCTTTACGAAACCAGCAAGAACAACGACTGCTGTACCGTGGCGAGACTGATCGCACACATCGGAACAACTTAGAGCCCAAACTCCAACTAGACACGAGTCAATGTCACCTCCAAGTCGTCGATGGTTCTGTAAACGAAGACTCCCTTCTTATCCACGCCCGGGGTGGGCGGCACGAAGGGGTACGACCCAGTGGCCAGCACGGCCTTGTCGTACTTAATCTCCTGCGACAGCGGGTGTCGACCGGTAATGGTGTTACGGTTCAGGAGGACGAGGCCTGTGTAAACTAGTAGACTATGGACATACGCTGTGATGTGATGTGATGTGATTTGTTCTTCTCCGTCCAGGGGTTTCGCTACCAGGAGGGCTGGGTTTTTCCTACCTGGGGAGAGATATCAACGACGAGAGGCATATCGCCAACACAAGCCAACAACAACACAAGAGAGAGATATCGCAACAACAACGACGGTGGAAGCACCGACTGAGTGGCGGAGAGGGGGCCTGTTTCGGCCTGCTACTGAAACCAGAGAAAGGAGTATGGATGTATTGACCCTGTCCGCCCTTCGAGCTACTATGGTCACCAAAGGTGTGCTGAACTGGGAAATCGTTACTCTACTTTCCAAACAAAAACAAAGAAAACAACCTACCCTGCCGGACTCCGAGATGACCGTCTTTGCCTCGCGGTCGATCTTGAGAGCCTTATCCCCAACGTAGCATTCCACGCCGGGGGTAGACTGGTACCACTCCGTCAACCCGTCGCCGTTGTCGTTGTAGTTTCCCGACATGGACAGGTTGTCTGGGTCTTTGTTCGTGAAATACTGTTTTGGAGTTTTGAGGGGGCGGAAGTCGAGAGAAGACAAACATTCGAAGCTAAGCATGAAACAGATGGTGACAAGAATACAAGACGCGAGCGAGGGCGGTAATTTGGCAGGCATCAAAATGGAACCTTGGCGCTCCTTGCCCTGTCTACCGTGCGTACGATGTATCTGTTTCGTGATTGTCGTTGTTGGCGATTTCTTTGGTTTTTTCCGGAATGGCGAATCGCATCACCGCCAAAGACAAAATAACAAAATCACAACCGGCCGGCCGTACGCGACACACGTAGATGAACATTGAGCGACACTTCGCGCTGCCCGCTTGGGCATAAGTAATTAAATGCGGGAGAACAATTTACATCAGTTTATGATAGAGCTGCACATCGCCCGCTCCTTCTCCAAGGAGTCGGCACGACCAGCTGGGAAACATGCAGCATTAACGATTTGCCAGACTCTGAGTGGCACCCAAGGTTCGCCCGATTTGTACTATTTTCGTGGTTGCACGGTTTTTCCAATGGTTGCGGGCACACGATCGGTTTTGTTTCCATGGTCTAATAGACACGATACGGTTTTGTTCTGCAGAAAAGAACCGCAGCTCACCTCCGTAAGCCTCATGCGGTTGTACGCCGCTCTGTTCTCCTCGCAGAAGGTGACGACGTTGAACTTGTTGTCCGGGTCTTTCTCCTTCAAGGCCTCGATGAATTTGTGTCCCACCATACTGCGGCAGGAAGAACAACAACAAGAAGAACAAAATCAAGAACGAGAAGAGTGACACGGAGAGAGAGGCAGAGGGAGAGAAAGATGTACTGCTGGAGATCGAATCGTCACATATACCGTATATGACACAAGATAACACACCCCCTTGGCCGATTTTCAAAG